AGCTCACTAAGAATTTGGAATAAATCTTTAAAATCGTAGGATCCTGATAACACAATGTTACATGCAATACTAAATTTTCGAATGCATTCTCAGGTTGGTTTATTTAAAAACCTTCTACCCTTGTCGTCATGACATACACTGATTGGAAAACATTTTTTTTTTTACTTTCACAATTCAGCAAAGGGCGATATGATAATCGAAGAAAAAGACACAAATGAGTTGATGGGGTGACTATTCTTTGTCAAAAATCGTCCTTTAAAAAATTAATTACATATGGGCCCACAAATCACCAGCAAGAATCGATTTTTGGCCAAACATAGTGACCAAAGAGGGGCTAAGTTTTGATATTATTTTGACAAAATTCAGCCCATCTTCATTTTGCTTAATTCGTTTTAAGTTACAATAATTAAAACAAGTTAGGGCTTGTCTGGTTCCACTACAAAGCAAAATTTTGTACGTTAGTGGGTCCCACAGCCACCACTCATGTGTGAAGAAAGTCAACCAATGTGGCCCACCAACGGTTGAATTCTTGATTAAAATCTTGATTAAAATTGGCATCAGACAAACCATTAATAAGTTACTAAAAAGTCAATCATATTCCATGACATGACACGTTCATTTAGCTCTCATACAATGAACCTAAACGAGAATAGAAAAAGATTCTGGTAACTAAATCAAAATTTATTGAAAATAAGTCATAACACAAAGAACTATATGTTGTGTTGTATCAAACGATTCTTGTTTATTTTCTTGAATCCGAACTTTATGTTTGGCCGGAGATGGTATGGATAAGATTTGAGGCATGGGCATAGGATAGATGCCAGCTAACCTCATTCTTGTCGAAGAAGATGCTATTCAAATTCCGATGGTGTGTTTGACACCCATTTTGGAGAAGAATAAATTCTGGAATAGTGATTGATGGGAAGAATGTGTGGTTAAAAAGTAAGAAGAATTTTTGAGTTTATGTGTAATATTATTTTATTAATAGAATGTGTGGTTGAAATGAAGAAAGAGAAAAAAAATGAGAAAGAGAATGGATGTCAAATAGGGGAGCCAGCTTCCATATGTATGTCATTGTTGGCCATTTTTCCAAATTTGCAATAGCTTCCAAAAGCAATAATAAAGTTATTTCAAAACTAATAAAAGGATGATGCCATGGATTCACAGCTTTGGGGGTGTGGCGGGTCCTCATCATGGCCAATCTTTTGCTCACTCTTCTACTTGGTAACTAGTTAAGTTCGGATTATATAATGTTGTTAGGTCACAAATATCGTGACTTGACAATGGCTACACTTCCATCTTTCATTTCTTTGTGGATAACTAACCTCTTAAACATTGCAAGAATGTTCACCCGTCCTTGATGGTCGGAATAAAAGTATCTAACTTAGTATTTGTTCGATTTATTGACCATTTAGTACTCCTTGTTCACCTCCACATGTTAACCATACTTTCATGCGCACAAAAGAAACAATTTTTGAGGAATCACTTCTCAAAACATCTTTATCAAACAATGATAACTAAATTGAACTTTTTGATTGATTAATAAATAAAATTTTAACTTCATTTTCAATCTTAATACTTTTCGGTATTAAGATATGTCTCATGCATAGTATGTAGTTACATGATTGATTGCACTCCAATATTTTTTAATTTTGTTGAATATAGTATATTAAATACAACAAAAAATTATGCCCCTATTTGGTACCCTTTTTTGAGAAATTCATTTTTTTTTCGAACTCATTTTCAGTCATACATTCTTTACAATAAAATAATTTTATACATGAATCCATAATTCTTTTTTCTACTTTTTAACTATATATCTTCCAACGATATCATTTTTCATAAAATCCACGTCAAATAACCCTAAATAATACATGATGGGAGATTCCAATAACTTCTTCTAAGATTGTTCAAGAAACTTGTAGTCGTAGATGCAATCAAATCATAGTTTTCCTAGTTTGGAAGTGCTTGGATTTTAGGAGAGTTGTAGCCATTTATCGAGAGGCCTCATTTTAATTATTTGGCAAAAGAATTGTGATGGTTTTGAAGGTTACTTCAAGAAAATAGAAATATACGACTTTTAAACGACAGACAAGATATATTATAGATAAAGGTCTTATTATGCGTTGCCCTCAAACAAAACATCAACCGTGACGAGAAACGGAAATGTACAATGGCAGAGAAATGAAGTAAACAAGATAGATATTTTGATCCTATTTCTGTTAAAAAAAAACAAAAACAAAGAGAGAGAGAGAGAGAATCTTTCTTATTTTGTGTAATTATAAGTCATGATCAAGACGTCTTAATTTTTTTTTTTTTTTGCTAATCGAATATTTGAATGACTCATTTGTTAAAAAAATTAAGTAAAGATTGTATGTATATTTGCGAGTAAGTTGAAGTTTCACTTTTAATTTTGTTGGAATATAAATCAGCCCAACAGACCAGCAGCCCAACAACCCAAATCAGATTCAATTGATCACCAGTTCACCAGCAATCACACGTGCAGATTCAGAGCAGTTCACCAGCAAACCAGCAGCTCCTCTTCACGTGTTCAGCTCCTTCTTCCAGCTTCAGTTTATTCTAGTTCCTTCTAGTCTTTTCTTTAGTTTGTTATCTTGTTAGTTTGTTAGATAATTGGTTAGTATTATTTCTTCTATAAATAGAGTAGGTTGCATTGTATTTTCCTCAAGTTGAATGGAATGAATTTTCATCTGCTTCCCTGCATTTAGCAGGCTCTATCCTTTTCTCCTCTCTTTTTTCGTTCTGTTTTTCCCAGTACTTCAATTCGTTTTCTACCTTCCTTGATTTTATCATGGTATTAGAGCGGGTTTAGATCCTTTCATATGAAATTCATCTTCTTCTTTACTTTTTCTCAATTCAATAATAATAAAAAAAAAAACGAAATCAGAAAAATCAGATTACCAGAAAACGGAATAGTGGCTTTGCTCACTAGATGTTCGACGAAATGTCGAAACATGACTGAAAATTCCCAGATAAGGAATTGAAACTGGAAATTGAAGATAGAACCTGCAAGGAATGGCAGACTTCTCAAGATCTTCCCAAAGTAATTGATTGATTCCAGGTAGGGAATCAAAATGAAATTGAAGGCAGACAAAGTGTCTGAGGATGGATGATTTATTCCCAGATAGGGAATCAAATCGAAATTGAAATGAAGTTGAAGATGGAACCTGCTGGAATGGCAGGCTTCTAGGATTGATTTTAACCATGAAAAGGCAGATAAGTTGGTGTCAACATGTGAAGAAGTGTCACGCCAGGATGCTAAAATATATAACCAGATGGAGGTAGAGTATTATGCTGATGCCTGCTTGGATAAAGCAGATCTTGTTGATCATTTGATTTCAGAGGAAGAAAGAAAGAAATAAGAGAAAACCATTTTGAATTTTACAAAATACGCACCACTGCTGTTGTCATGAAAAAAAAAATTTCCTAGATGTTGCTTCTGAAGCTCTTGCAGAGTACAAGTATGTTGGCCCAAATCAGAGGGCTGATTTGGCTATAGCTTGCAGAATTCGAGAATAAAAGGAACCTGAAAGTGATTGCAAAGAGGAATTGAATGATGAAACCAGAGCAGATGTTTTCCAGACGAAGAAACAACAAAGTAAACTGATTCGAAACTTCTATCTCTACTGTCCTTCTCTACGGTTGAAGATGTTCCATCTTGAGGGGGGAGTGTTGGAATATAAATCAGCCCAACAGACCAGCAGCCCAACAGCCCAAATCAGATTCAATTGATCACCAGTTCACCAGCAATCACACGTGCAGATTCAGAGCAGTTCACCAGCAAACCAGCAGCTCTTCTTCACGTGTTCAGCTCCTTCTTCCAGCTTCAGTTTATTCTAGTTCCTTCTAGTCTATTCTTTAGTTTGTTATCTTGTTAGTTTGTTAGATAATTGGTTAGTATTATTTCTTCTATAAATAGAGTAGGTTGCATTGTTTTTTCCTTAAGTTGAATGGAATGAATTTTCATCTGCTTCCATGTATTTAGCAGGCTCTATCCTTTTCTCCTCTCTGGTGGTCCAGGACATAGTCTGGTGTAAGTTAGGATACCTGGATATAAAAAAAAAAAAAAAAAAAGAGGATATTCCACTGTCCACGTGTACACACGCACGACCGTTAATTCAACGGACGAAAGGAAAATAGCAGTTAAAATTTTTAAAATGCTACAACATTTCTCCAAAAATCGAGGTGCAGGCAATAAAGAGTTGGGGGATCCAAGAACCTCTTGAGGCCATCCTCCTCTCGAAAGTGGTGGTTGGCGGTGGCGATGCAGGGTGTTGTAATCGGCGGTTCTCGGTTTTACAAATTCATCCATAACACCGACCTTTGTTGTTCTTGAATCTCCGTTTCTTAAATAAAGATACATGGCACAAAATTGTTAAATTTTTAATTTGGGGGAAACTCGAGTGGGATTTTGCTCTGATCCGTGAATTTTGTTATTCTTTTCTTTCCTTTTCTTTTCCCGAGATATAGGAACCCTTATGAGATAGAGACATATACATGCACATACTGACATACACATATACACAGATATATACATTTGTTGGTGTGTGCATGTCTTGTGTAGAGCAGTAGAGGGGACATTGAAACGTGAAAAGGGATTGTAATAAGCTTTCGCTTTGCCTTTTGCTTTGGATCTCGCTAAGTATTGGACAATAGGTATATGAATTTCTCTTCATTTCGCATTTTTTTACATTGTTTCTTGCAGAAAAAAGGAAACCGATGTTTGCCATCCATTTAGATCGGAATACGTCTCCGTTCTTTGTTTTTTTATAGTATTTTATGAATAAAATTAGGACATCATAGCAAAATGCAGAATAAAATTCAACGTGTTATTACACAAATACATATTGCTGACTTACCGCAGTGTTTTGATTTTAGCTAAGAATTGATGAATGAATTGCATGTTAAAGTTCCCTTTTACAGAACTTTCTGCAAGTTCTGCTGAATTTTCTCCATTAAAGATAGTTTGAGCAGAGAAAATGCAGTTCAAATCCATTATTCGAGTGCTTAAAGGAAAGAATGACTTAGATAACAAGCAAAAGAAACTATCCGAGGCAAAATGCGTGCGAGGTCATATAAAATCACACATTACTACTGAGGGGTCATTGCCAGCCAAATCGGCATTGGTACAAGAAACTGAAGAAAGCCTGTGGGCAAATTTGCCTTCCGAGTTGCTTCTTGATATTTTTGGTAGAGTGGAGGAAAATGAGACTACATGGCCAGCCCGGAGGGCTGTGGTTGCGTGTGCTGGGGTTTGCAGGTCATGGAGAGAAGTTGCTAAGGAAGTTGTAAAGACCCCTGAAGAATGTGGGTTACTCACTTTTCCCATGTCATTGAAGCAGGTACATTTGGAATTTTTATACCTTTGATTAAATTTCTTGAGATGACCTATCAAAAAGATTAGATTTCTTGAGATTACTAGATAAATTGTGATTTTGTTTTGAATCTTGAAAAATATGTTTTAGCCGGGTCCAAGAGATTCTCCAATTCAATGCTTTATCAAAAGGGAAAGGGCGACATCAATGTACCTGTTGTATCTTGGCTTGACCCGTGGTAAATGAATTTGTGCTTTCTTAATTTTCATTCATTGGAATGATAATTGAATTTAATTGGTAAGACAGGCTCTATCCATGTGCCACATAAATTAATATTGAGCCTTTGACCAGCTTCATGAACATAGTGTTGATCTGCTTATTTTGTTGTTATTTCTTTGCCACCGAAACTTTCCTGTTATTTGATTTCTCTGGATCCTTCTATCTTTTGATTTTGAGATTCATTAAATAACAAAGAAGATTTGGCATGCCCAATGATTTGTTTTCTAAATTTGTGTGATACAAGAACTGTTAAATTTCATGGTGGTACAACTGTTTATGGCACATACATATAAGTGTAATCTTTTCTTTGCTGATAATGATTGTTTGAACTCAAATACTACAGCACTTGCAGGAGAACCGAGCAAATTGTTGCTGGCTGCAAAAAGGATCAGGAGGGCCACAAAAACAAATTTTTTGATATCATTGTCTGCAAATGATTTTACTCAGACTAGTAACAATTATGTTGGAAAACTAAGGTTAGTCATTCAAATATTGTTTATCCTTATATCCCATTGCATTTGTGTTTCTTTTTTATCAACCCAAAAATTTTGTATCAGGTCCAACTTTTTCGGCTCCAAGTTTGTTATTCATGCTTGTCAGCCACCATCTAGCTCCACTATCCAATCGCATGGTTGGTCACATAAAAAGGTCTCTACGTGGAAGGTGACCCCGAGTCTACCTGTTTGCAATTATAATGTGGCCACAATATCATATGAGCTAAATGTTCTTCGTACTAGAGGGCCAAGAAGAATGCAGTGCAACATGCAAACAATCCCTGTCTCCGCAATTCAAGAAGGCGGAAGTGCCCCTACCCCTGCTACATTTAGTAATGACCTCGAAGAAATGTTCTCTCCCTTGTCAGTGTTGACTAAGAAAAACCAAAAATCAACTTCCATTAGTCCTGTCAAATTACCAGCATCCATTTGCAGCACTAAAGATCCACTTGTTTTAAGAAACAAAATTCCTAGATGGCATGAGCAGCTCCAGTGTTGGTGCCTGAACTTCAGAGGACGTGTTACAGTGGCCTCTGTAAAGAATTTTCAACTGGTCGCTGCTGTTGACGAGTCAAAGAATGTCCCCTCTGTAGAACAAGAAAAAGTGATCTTGCAATTCCGGAAGATAGGGAAAGACATTTACCATGGACTATATTTACCCCCTTTCTGCCTTTCAGGCATTCAAAATCTGTTTAAGCAGCTTTGACATGAAACCAGCATACGAGTAGCCAATTTCTCTTACAATAATGGGCTGTAATTATGCTTGGCTCCATGCAAATGATATTTCAATGTAGAATTTTATTTTATCTCATTTTGCAAGGAAACATTTAAGTTTTTATTCATTGTCCCAAGATTAGGCTTCTGGTAATGTGATGATTAGAATCAAATGATTTAGTTAGAAGTTTGAATCAACATGTACAATGCAGAAGAGTTTTTTTTGACTTTTATAATGTTTGGGCATGTAGGAAGGTAGACTGTTACCATAAATACTTTGTTTGGCAAATTTCTAAATCATTTATAAATTGGTTAAATTTCATTCGGAACCACACATTTCAATGGACCCACAAGTACTATCTACTTATACACCACTCATTTCTATCTATTTATAAATTAGAATGTTTACAAATTCTTCCCAAATGAAGGCAAAATAATTTGCTATAGGTTGTGCTGGAATGATGTTGAATTGAACACGGAGTAATAGATATTAGTTAGTTATACACTAGTTACATTTATATTAAAATACTGTGAGAAGCATGTACTATATTGTTTTATCATCCTTATTAAATTGTTCTTGACATGCGTAAAGGTACACAGTACTTAGTATCTCTTGGCATGCCAAAAGGGTAACTTATATGTTTAGAGAACATCTCTTGTGTTGTATTTGCTCCTTTCCTTGCTGCCAACACGGCAACCATGACGTTTAGGCTTTTCAGGATTTTCCGGGTCAGAATCACTCGATTCCAAAAAAAGACCTTCGAGGCATCTTCTTCTGACATTGGGTTCATAAGTTTGTTTCTGAGAAGGGATTGTGTTGAATTCAGCCTTTTGCACCTCAAGGGGCCTTTTTTCATCAGTTGACATGGTAGGTTCTTTCTGAGCATGAGTGACAATCATATGGACACCGGGATTCCTTTCAGCTATGGAACTTTCGAACACTATGGAGTTATTGATTCCCTGTGTATTGTTGTTTACATATGCCTCTATTGGCTGATCTTCTTTTCCTTCTGCATCTTCTGATTTCTTACCCTTCCAACTTCCCTCTCCATCTATGGTTGCTTCAGGACTTTCATCAGGATTGATCTTGTAGCCTCTATGAATGTGAATTGCCCCTTCTCCTTTTGATGAATCAGAACCCAACTGCATTGATGCTCCTCTGTTTTCTCCTGCAAGCGTAATGACACTTACTGGTCTGTCATTAAGGGAATTTTTGGGGTCTCCAATGGCCATTCGATTGACAAATGTCGAAATGTCATCCTTGATATCTTTGTACAAGGGAACTTGTTCTCGGCTTGATTGAGCAAACTTATGAGTTGGTGCCCTCATGCTTTTGTTCCCAGGTCGAGAACTTGTTTTGGTTGGTTTTCCATTGAAGAGAGAGGTTTTCAATATCTCCTTTTTGCCAATGGCTCCTTGCATTTCTTCATGCATCTGCTCAGATTTATTTATAATGCTGGCCTCCTCTACTGTTTGTGCTCTTGATCCTGATTTTGCAGTTTGAAAATCATTGCCTTCGTTGTTTCTATTTTCATTAGCTTCACATTTTGTCTCTTCAATTACCTCCTTCACTTCTTTAGTTTCTTCAGGGTTTGCATTTGATTCCAGGAGGGACTTTGTTTCACCATCGATGCTGGAAGAATCTAATTTTTGTGTTGCCCCATCTGTCTCAGGACCTTGTGCAACGGTTGATATAGCAGCAGCTCCCAGCTCTGATGATTTAGAAGGCTCTACTTCCATCTGATTTTGTTTGATGGTTGTTTCAAATGCAGTTTGATTATGGGAGTCCTCAACTATTTCTGATTTAACTTTTGCCTTTGACTGAATTTTTAGAGGCTCTTGTTCAGATGTTGCAGGCTTTGGTTCTTCTCCATTAGAAACGGTATTTGGGGCATCATGAGAATTGGAAAGAGGGTGGGAGATCTCTTTAGTTGTGTGCTCAACGCCCTTCGTAGATGGTGAAGATGTCTGATTTGGGGACCGTAAGGCCGAACGGGAGGACTGCGGTTGTGAGGTCCTTTGTGGTGTCAAGGGAGTCGCAGAACCCAGGCGAGATGGGGATGAGGGCACGACTCGTGATTGAGGTGCTACAAGAGACGGAGATGAAGTCTGAGGAGGTGATCTTGATTTTGTTGTTGCACGGAAGGGCGATGCCGGTTGTGATGGGACATGGGGTTGAACGGTTGCACGAGTTGGTGATGAGGTTTGGGACTTGATAGTAGGGCCAATTGAGGTGGCGGTGGTCTGGTTAGCCATCTGGGCTTCACTTGAAGTTGGCATTGTGGCAGCAGGGGTTGTGTTTCTTTTTGACTGGCTAGGTGTTTGAGTTTGATTTTCATCTGTAAGTGGAGTGGTGAGAGTGGTGGAGGAGGGGGTGGTTGCCTGCCCTGCCGTTTGAGTTTCAGCCGTGGGAGGAGTTGTGGGGATGGCGTTGGTGGTAAGGTTGGTTTCCTTCTCAGCCGTTTGAGTTTCAGCAGTAGGTAGAGTTGTCGGGGTAGGAGTAATTGTGGTGGTCTGGCCAGCTGATCTAGTTTCAGATGCAGGTGGAGTTGTAGAGGATGGGGTGTTTGCATTCCCAGCCGTTTGAGTTTCAGCAGTAGGTAGAGCTGTCGGGGTAGGAGTAATTGTGGTGGTCTGGCCAGCTGATCTAGTTTCAGATGCAGGTGGAGGTGTAGAGGAGGGGGTGTTTGCATTCCCAGCCGATTGAGTTTCGGCTGTTGATGGAGTTGCAGGGGTGGTTGTCTGGTTAGCTGAACTTGATTCATCTGCAGGAGGACTAGGGGAGGAAGAGGGGTTGGTTGTGTTAGTCCGGGATGGTTCAGTTGTTCGACTTGCTGTTGTACGGCGGGAAGCCGGTTTAGATGACAGTAATCGGGAGAAAAATGAAGGCCTCCGGTCCCCCATGAATGTATAACGACAAAAGAGGTTAGTTGTTTTGTTCTGTTCTTAAGAGTTGTGTTGTTTGATATACAACGGAGCAGTCAAGACTCGAGAGTTATAAAGTTCATAATTGATACCTTGGAAAATTCATTCCTTCAAGTCACTTCTTAGAATGATTTCCTTGTTATTTCCATTTCTTGATTCTTTGCTTCTCCAGAAAAATCTATTTTCCTTAGAAACAGGATTCTCTAAAGCAATTTCCTCTTTATGAAGTTTAGCATCATTTTAGACTGCAAATTACAGAACTTCCATCAGTTTCTTGCCGTCGATTGAAACCTGATTCTTTTTCTTTGTTCCAGAACACAATTCCGGCGTCCTAGATTACCTTTTTTTTTTTCTTTTGCTTGATGTCTTGATAGAAAGGGAAAGTACAGAATTTAATCAAATTTTATACAAATATTCCATTATCCCACCTACTTGGTCAAGAAAAGAACACAGAGATTTACCCTAACAGGCAAGTCATTAAAGGAAAAGATTCTTTCTTACTCATCCGATTTCACATTATTAGGGATATGTCAGTCGTGGTTCATACCGACTGAGCTTCCTTCCAAGTTCAAGAACATCTTTTTGTGACAATACAAGGTACGTCATCGAACAACATTACCCGCTTCGCAAGATACAGAAAGCTTGGTGTACAATAGTTGAATTTGCACTATTCTTTTGATGTTTCATATTTGTTGAGAAATTGAAGCCAAACCCTCAATTTCAAGCATCATTAGTGAAAATATCAACACTAATTTCCCCTCTTTATTGTAAAGAAAATAAAAGAGACAGAATCTTTAGTCTACTATATTTTTACTCTTAAAAACCTGAGATTTGCTTCTAAATTTCATTCATCCTGAAAATAAATAGTCCATTAGAATTAAGTTTGAGAATAAGCGGTAAATTTTTTTCAGATCATTTAATGGTCTCTGTAATATACATATTCTTTAAGAAATCAATCACCTAAAAATGCAATGTTCGTTTTCTTTGTTTACAGGATTGATAATGCAAGGTCTCATGCGAGCAGTCAGATCTTGTCATGAATCACTACACCTCAAACATCTCGGGCATTCACACACAGGGAACAAAACCGAGCTGAAAAAGGTTTTATCGCGCTATGAACGTGCCACATCATCTCCAACAAGGCGAAACGAGGACTCTAACAATTTAATAGTGGCAGATTCTCACACAATTGCTGATAAGGGATTGAAGAATACAACAGTAGCAGAAGTACTAATGACAAAGGGGGAAGAAAGGGTCGGGTCTTGGCTCTGGTGTCACTCAAATGACTCGGTCTATGATGCTGTGAAGCAAGTTGGTTTCTTCAACCCTTACAAGAGTTGCAGGAGATAAATCAGTCGCCTTCCGTTTTTAATGCAACAATAATTTATTTTAAAATTTTCAGATGGCACAAAACAATATAGGATCTTTGGTGGTACTAAATCCAGGAGAGCAACAGCTAATTGCAGGAATTTTTACTGAAAGAGGTATTGTTCTCCACATTCTTACACGAAGTAGTTGAAGGAAAGGGGGGTTTGATATCGGAATGGTGCAAAATAAAACTCCCTTGAGAAGGGATTTAGTGTTCTCTTTTCGACTTGTAGCTGTTGGAGTTGTGACATTTTGTTGTCACATGAAGAATTGTATTTTTATTGTAATCTAGTTTGTAGCTAGTTTAGTTGAAATGTCTAACTAAATTCATGTTAAGTTAGACTAGATTATAATTAGTACAAGACAAAGTAGTAAACCATTCTACAAGTAAAGTAAGTTCTAGTAGCAAAGTTGAAAGCTACTACTTGCTAGTGGATAAAAAAGCCGGTAAGCTATGCATCAACCGGTATACAATTCATGTTTTGTTAAGTCTTCAATACACTCCTCCATACACAAAATCAAAGATGTTAAGGGCTCTTTTAAAAGAGTCTTAGATCAAAGTCAAAATCCCAACAGTAGCTACTCAGATAAATGAATAGTCTTTCTGGTCATTGTAGCGCCTGCCTACTAAAATATTCAAATTTGCGCCCTCACATAACCAAACGGGATCCATTAAATGAGTTTTTTTTTGGGGGAAAATGTGTTTTGGAATAGTGATTTTTTTTGGAGATGGTGTGATTAAAATATAAGGAAAAATTTTGGGTTTACGTGTAACATTATTTTATGGTAAAATGTACGGTTGAAAATGAGTTTTGGAAAAATGTATCATAGAAAAAATGGAGCCCAAATAGTTGCACGCAGACATTTATAAATTCTGAACATTAAATTCTTAATTTGCACACATATTGTTGATGACGATTACATGTCAAAACAGACTATTTGCGGAAGGTAATTGTGCAGGATAGATCATCTAAATATACGAAAGTTGGGGAAATCATGACTGATCAGGTTGGTACCTCTTCTCTTTCGACTTAAACTTCCTCGCCCGTCCACTGATCTCTTCTAACTCTTCACCTGATTTTTACTGTCTCGACAGAACAAGCTGATATCAGTAACATCAGATACAAACATTCTGCAAGCGATGCAACTGATGACTGGTAAGGGATAGTATATTTTAAGTATTGTTGAAAACAGAATGCCAATTACAAGCAAATTGACATTGTTCTTGGAAAATAATGACATTTTAATGTTTATAGAGAATCATGTACGACATGCCCCAGTGATAGATGGAAAAATAGTAGGCATGATCTCGATTGTGGATGTTGTTCGCGCAGTGGTGGAGCAGCAGCGTGGAGAAGTGAAGCGACTAAATGAATTTATTCAGGGAGATTACTATTAGAATCTGATGAAAATCTGAACAAATGATACAAGCTATTGCCTCAAATCTTGCATGGCATGTTATGTAAATCTTTCTATATTCTAGCACATAGCACTTTCATAATTAAGCCCTCATGTTAATTACACTTGTTGGAGAATTTAAAATCAACAAGTACATGTTTTGCAAATGAAACATGAAACACAGATAAATTAGTATAGCAGGGGGGAAAGATATAGCAAATTAGGAGTGTGTTTGGGACACATTCTTTTGAAAGAATATATTATTGAATAGTAGATTGATGGAGAATGTGTGGTTAAAAATAAAGGAAAAGTTATTGATATGATGGAAAATATTATTTTATTGAAGAATGTGTGGTTGAAAATGAGTAGAAGAATAAGAATGAAAAAAAATAATGTGTACCAAACAAGGTCTTAGTGTTTGAACAGAATTAGCGACAACTATACCATACAGATAATCACATGGGGGGNGCTATTGTGGTGAATGGTTAAATTTTTTGGGCAAAGTGGAAAATGACACCTTTGACATGGCTAAACTGAAAAGTACCCCTCTTATTTTCTTCATTCCAAGTATGACAAACATCCATCCTAACATTTTTTATTATGTTCATATGATGGATATTTTGTTCTTAAATGAAGCAACACTCGAGGCTTGTTTGTGAAAAATTTTCTTAAAATTATTTTTTCTCTAAAATCATTTTCAACCACACATTTTATGAGACCTACAATTCTTTCCATTTTAACCATTCATCTTCCAAAAAAATCACTCCATTGAAAAACATGTGCCAAACAAGCTTTAAATTTTCTAAAACATATGTTTAAGTATTTTTCGTTGAACTACTTTTTAACTTCGATAAGTGTTTTTCAATCACAAGAATATTGTAAAGCTATTTTTCCACTTGCTCAAAATATTAAATTTCTACTAAGTAGACCCCTCACAAATAAACTCTGTAGAATGATGGCGAACCCATTAAAAATCTCACGCGACGTGTGATAATGAGAAGCGTGATGAGGTATAGGCTTGGTCCCTTTATCCTTAACTCCCCGCTCACTCGATGGTTTAAGTTTCATCTTGTTTTCTGTAGCTGGAAGTCAGGCTCTATGCCTCTTTCAAAGTTTTTATACTTCCTTTTCTGCATTATTTTTTATAAATGATCCACACACTTTTTATTTTCAAAAATTAAACTCACGGGTGATGGCATGTTCTATTAGGAGGGGCTGAGCATCTAGTCTAGAACAATAGTGGAAACTAAATTTAGTGTGCTCGAGTCATATTTCATGTCATTATGAGCCTAGTTAAATACTTGATAGGTTCGTGATCACTGTGTGAAGTAGCCTCCGTTGATCCCATCGTCTTACCATATTTCAAAGTTGGATAGTCCATGTGCTCATCTATTGCCCATATATATAACCAAAAACATCCTCGGTGCAATCTTATTTTGGATAGCCCATCCTTCTAGCTTGAACTCATAACTCGAAAGGAGGAGTTGTTTCTTTATTTTTAGCACACACTACTAAGCCCCGTCCACTGATAGGTTTGATTGAAGGAAAAAGAACATGGTCTTAGAAAAACAGATGATTGACTTTAAAAAGATGAAACATATCAAGTTATCACTGGCATTTCTTACAATATGATATCATATATTGATGTCAAATCTGCTGAGAAGATGTCTGCTAGGTCTATTTCCTTATCTTTTGGAACATTTCATCTCAAAAGGAATCCCATTACTCCCTTTTCATTGTCGATTCGTAACTATTCAGAAATCTTCTCCCCATACTTATTCAAATATTCTGTCAAAATTTTGGTCCTCAGGCTTTTTTTGGCCTTTTGATTGGACCAGTAAATGGAGATTATGATAACTCACCTTGGTTAAAAGTTTAAAACCATCACTGACTCACTGTCGTTATCTTTTTTACAAAATTTGAACCCACGAGAGTGGTGGAGATTTGGCACTGACCCTTGTCGGTTTATCAGAAGGAAAATAGCAAGATAGAACGAGACTAAGGAGACGGAGTTTAAAGAGAAATAACGTATTTTCCGTGCGGGGCCCGGGGGGGTTTATTTGTGCAACTTTCAATGATAGGGATGGACAATATATGATAAAGATTCTGAAATATCAAAGGGCTATCCTATTTTGTTACAGATTCTTGCAGCATATTAATCTGAATATTGCCTTGTAGGAAGGGCCCTCCACCTGCATGTGGGCAGTATCTCCAAGCCATAAGCATATATTGCCAGTTGTTTCAAAAGCTGGAATTTCCCCCCTTTTTGGTGAATTCTGGAATTTTATTGCATAGATAAGCACATTTCAGAGTGGCACTTAGTCATCAACAATCCAAGCTTTCATCTTTCCTTATCATTTTGCTTTAATGAAAAAGTGTAAAGACATTCATATTCTCAATTGACCAGTACCAGCCTCTCGAGTCACACACCAGTGTAACATTTTCACAATACTAAGCAATAAATGTTGTTTAACCAAGAAAATTGAGCTTTGCTAACTATGGATGATAATAGACAGAATGGATGTCAATTCACTTTTAACGTGGGAGCTAGGTTGACTTTGACACGACAAGTTTTCACTATGATGAAGAATAGTACATGGGATTTCACGCCTCTTACGCACAAAGATCGACCTCCTAAAATCATTTATGTAGTAGGAATATTTGGATATATATGTATGTGTTATGAATGAAGCAAGATAATTGCAAGATGAAATAAATCAATCACTAACAAGAACATCAAGATTTTATGTTCAAAATCAAGATCAATGATTGTTATTAAAAGATTTGGTGCACTCAACCAAATCTAATGTGTTTTTAATATCTTTGAAGAGTCTACAAGTCGTGGAATATATATACAACCCAAAAAATAGTGTTTGGAATGGAATATGTATCACAAAACGTATCAAAATCGAAAATAGGCCTGGGCATAAGACGGCCGCTCGAGCGGTGTGCCTCACGCACAACGAGCAGCCTCACTGGAGCTTGAGCATCGGTTCGTGCTCAGCGAGTGCCAGACTTCCTATTCTGGGGACTTGAGGGGAAGCTGGGCTATCGACGAGCATAAATGTGCTGACTTTTTCTCCTTAGTCCATATTTGGATTTCTTCGAGACCTCTTTAACCAAACACCAATTCCTTTTCAACAAAAACGCTAATTTCCAATGGAATTTGGGTTACAATTCAACAATATGGTACATCAAATATACTTAAAAGGTTCACCTCATGGCTCTTACCCCAAAATCTTAGGGGAATTAAGTGAATTTTATAATTAGGTTTACACAATCCAATAAGGAAAATCATGAAATTGTTGTGGATTGAAATATGAAATTTGGAGACATTTTTTTACTGTTAAATATAAGATTTAAATAAACGTATGATCTCTAACAGCTTAATCTTTTAGATGTGCATCAACGTAGTATCACAGTAGCTAGACTAAGGTCTTTGCTGCAAATCTTTTCACCGTCTATTTATGAAAATTATTATGCATCAGCCTTTAATTAAATAAAAAAAACATGAAATTAGTTTGTCCGTGAAGGGTCATCGTTGAAAACAAGACTTAAATAAATAGCAATCATGCTACAAGTACAATTTTTTTGACATCAAGTTTGACAATGTGCCACGNTAGGAAGTACTAGTTGTGATGCTCGCCAGAGAAAGTTGCGTACTTTTGCTGGAATTTTGAGATTCCATATAGTTCGCCCATTCGAATTTGAATTAACATGGATTGTCAACTTCCTTGTCAACCATGGATTGTACACAAAGCATTATTCAATAAATCAAAATAAAGAGAGGAATCAATCTGGTTATGGAACATTCCATCAGATTAAAAGCAATTCTTGTTTGATTATGATGAAAATGAAGATTTGATACGATTAAGTTTGATTCGACAAAGGAAAACCAATTGAAAGGTTTCTAAACACGTTTTTAGGTGATCCCAAACAACTGGAACAATTTGGCATATCAGTTGGTACTTGAAAAAGTCACAGTGACACACTGATATTTGTGGAGTAGAATCCCATTTTAACCAGGTTCCACTGACCATTAGAAAGTATTAGTAGCTTTCATTTTCCCTCCTCCTATGTATTGCACTGATAATTTATCGGGAAAATGATTTATACGCCTAGAAAAACCTGGAAGTAATGACAGCAGAATAAGAACTGACATGAAAGAAGAATAGGGGATTTCTCTGATGACAAAATACCCTGACTGACAAGAGTTAAGTACAGGGATAGAAACCTTTGGAATGTTGCTCACAAAATGATAAATTCACCATTTCCAACCAAAACTGATGGATAAACTTCAAGATATAAAGAGAATAAAACAGAATATCAAAGCGGTGACGCTTTTCTTTTCGATTCTTGGTTTGGACTACGGTGGTGATTTTAGTCTCAGAAGTAACTTTTGAGGAAAAATATAGGACGCAGACACAGTCATTTCAGTAACAATAAAATTTTACGGGGGCTTAAGATTAAACGAGCAGTCCAACTTCTCTAGAGATGGGCTGTCATTCATTGGAAAATGAACGGTCGAGGGTAAAAGCATGTCCGACATGGCCTATGTTTAATTCAAACTTGCAATGGATAAAGTGAACGCAAACCTCAAATTGTTTCGATTTTACGGTAATAAGTTAGGTCAATGAAATTTATCACTAATACAAAAATTAAGCTATTATTCATGTGGTATGAAACTCCTGTTTGAGTCTCATTCTTTAAAACCCACATTGTTTTCAAACCCATTTTTAAGTACACGTTCTTCCAATAAAATAATTTTACACGTAAATTCAAGATTTTTTCCTATTTTTTAACCATATATTCTCCAAAAAGATCAATTTTTACAACATCTATTTTAAAAAAAAGGGGGCTCAAACAAGAGCGAAACATGTCAAGAATATATTGATCTATAGCAAAAACAAATTCTACCCGAAAATACGGTTAACCTTAGTACCATTTCAAACATCTTACTCAATGCATATGGATTATGAGAAGAGGAAATTACATGGATCC